GGACATAGAAAAGAGGCAGAAGGAAGGAAGGGAGTGCCCTGAGAAAACTGCAGCTGTTGGTTTGTTCTGGTGTGAGGGAGGCTAAGCTGCTGCTGAACAGAATGGGATTTCTGCATTCAGGTTTCATGACACACCACAGTTAGTACAAACTACACTTAACAAGCCAGGCACATGGTTGAGAATCCCAGTTCAGCACCAAGCAGCAAACCAAGTAGCCTGCATTCAGATATCATACTAAACCCGGGCTTAATCAAAGCATGATACTGATACCCCACTCTTCCCCCAGTAGTGACCCCAAAGCAGCTTATAGCACTCTACTCCTCCATTTTATCCTAACAACCACCTTGTACGGTAGGCCATGATGAGAACATGTACATATTGAACTAGGGAGGAACTAGAGTCTTATAATAGCTGTGGTTCATCATGATGGCCGAATGTAGCCATGTCACAACAACAGTTCTCTGTTTGCTGGTTACCGTGTATGTGTGTGCGTGCGGGGGAGAATACCACTATTATATTCTGAAGAATCTTACACAGCATCCCACCTTAATATATAGCTTCCAGATTACAGGCAGGTTTGTACTTCGGAAAACCTCTAAGGGAAGAAGCAGCTGTGGTTGGTATTCAAGACTGAGACATGGATAGTACTATTATAAGACAGCTCAGAGTTCATCTTACTAACCATAATACATAGCAGTGTCTTTGTTTTAGGTACACAGGATCCAAGATTATGATTTAACTAGTCACATTTAATTGTGCCCTGGCAGACTACGGAAAATGCCTGAAGCACTGGTTTGACACATTCCCAGAGATGGGCCACTGCTTTTTGCCCCAGATGTAGCTTTCCAGTCACCTGAGATGAAATTCCCCTCATATTACAGGGTCCAAGAAACATTACTACTTCAGTTTAGTCTAGACTTCAGATTTCAGCAGCACACCTGCACTCGCTCCCTAACCCTAACATACCTTTTTAGCAGGGTAAATCACAGAGAATCAAGGAGATTCTAGTTTCAAGTAAATGTGGAATCTCCCAGTTTAATAATTATTTATCCACACAGTGAAGGGAATGTGCAGTTCCAAGACCAATCTCACCATAGGTACAGGCACAATGTGGATTCTCAGTTAGTCACAAAGGGTTGTATCCATCCAGCTTTTCCACGGGTGGGAACAGTTGGAGGGGGTCTCCTTTGATCACTCAACTAGGCTATGCTTGGGGGATCATGGAATGTGCTTGGATACAAGCCATGTGGGACAGGGGGCTCTGATATGGAGGAAAATTAGGAGAGACTGAATGAAAAAAGTTGGTTGGATCCAATCCAAAAGAAACTCAAGCTATATCATCTGAATACTAACAGAAATTTGTATCAGAACTTGGCAGAATCTTGCACAATAATTACATATATATATCGAAATCATGAGACTCAAAAGAGAATCACACTATATTTTGCTCACAAGGTCAACTTTGTAAAACTTCCCTGTCAACTCACATCATCAACCAAGGCCACAGACTCCGTATGATAACTCTACTAAATCCCAAACACACAACTGCCCTGGAGGGTACAATATTGAACACCAATTCAGTAATCTTTCTATAAGAAGACAAGAGTTGGACATAGAGATGTCGCAGGCTAGAAAATCAACCTCAAAGCTTTCTTTTTGGGTAGTGCGTGTTACTACAGCAGCAACCAAGCCATCCTTTAGCCCAGCCTTCAAGTATTAACCAAGACAAGCAATGTCATCCCTTCTGCGGCTGGTGTTAGTACGGAAGGAACTGTATCAGTCACCCCCAACTCACATGATCATTTCAACATTAGTTACTGGAGTAACACTTGGGTGATGCATGTATCAACACAAAGGTATTGCAACTCCGCTTTCATTTTGCATTGCTGGGATGATTTCATTAAGGCCCTTTAAAGGAAATGAGTGGTGATGTCACAGGAAACCAATTCTCATCAGCCCCTAAAAGGAGATTTTACCCAAGCCCCAGGATTCACATATTTTAGTTCTATTTCATATACTCCAGAAAGAAATACTTTGCAAGCTGAAAATGAATTACCAGCAGGAGGAGGAAGAGGAGGAAGCTGCTGAAATAAGGAGATGGATTGTCAGGAAGGAAGCAGGAATAAGCAGTGAAGCAAAAAGCATAAATAAGGCCTAGAGAGGGGGGAAAAGGTCAAAGTGTTAAGAATTTAACACAACAGAAGCAACCATAAAGAACTGAGCAAGGAAGCAGAAGGCAAATTTGAAAGTGGTTATATGCAAGTATATAGTAAAAGCATGGGAAGTTTGTGTGCCATGCTAGTTTCAGGCTATTTCACATGACAGAAGCCACCTGATTCCATACAATGAAATACAGCACAGATAAAAAGCATCCTTTCTCATAACAAATGTTAAATAAAAATGTTCTCCATTTATTTTAAGGCAAGAGGGAAAAAACCACCATGTAATCTCCAAAAAGCAATGGGCATCAATATTGTATGTCTCTCTAACAATCAAACCAACCAGACCACCAATACATAACACTTTTAAAATATAAAAGACTATCTTAATCC